TTCAGATTAGTTTATTTAATTATATTTTCAGTATGTTTTAAAAAAGTAAATAAATTTCATTAAATGTTTGCTTGCTTACGCCTATGGCACTTACGTAAGTGATAGATGACAAGTAAGGAGAAAATGGTCTTTTATAATTGTAAGCTTAGTATTCACATAGTCAAATCTTATATTTAAAACTGTCTTAAGTACAATTTTAAGATATCATAAACCAGTTACAGAGACGATCTTGAAATAAGAGCCGACTATAAATATCAATGTATGACTAAACTCTTCAATAATGTGTGTATGTTGGAACAGCTTGGTATTGAATTCCTGATAATTTTGCAATCATTTTCGTGCATATTTATGAATATTTATGAATAAGTACAAGACTTCTATTAACTTGACAAAAAAAGAAACTTTTAAAAGAGAAACAATAAAAAAAACCTTTGTTCTACAGTTGCTTAATTATACATTGCGATAATTTGAACTATAGATAATATATGCTGCACGTTCTACGTATTACGTCTTCACTGATTGCCACGTCATACATATAACATTCTTAAACGCCGTCCTGCATTATCGCATAGCGATTCAACATCAGTCTTCAGCGAGTACGAGTCGCGTGTATAGGTATTGACATCTGTACTATCGCGCTTCACGAATATTCAGTATCCATTTTTCCGATTTTTCTTTTAAAAAAGTCGTGTGCTAATTATGTATCCATCTACACTCCGTTCCGCTCTACGCCGTACACAACAGAAACTGACTACAACGTGCCAATTACATTTATACGCATCGTGTCTTCAACACTGCACAGGTCCACTGACACAGTTTACAGACGATGAACTTATGACGAAGGAAATGGTCGCTAAACTGGCCAAGCAGGAGATCGCTCCGCTCGTACGAAAGATGGAAAGGGAAGGAAAGATAGACGACAGTGTGTTTCAAAAGCTATTCAAGAACGGCCTGATGGGTATCCAAATCCCGACGGAATACGGTGGAACGGGAAGCAACTTTATGAGTACGATTATAACCATTGAGGAAATCTCCAAAATCGACCCGGCAGTATCTGCATGTGTCGATATTCATAACACTATGGTAAATTCACTTATTCTTAAGGTTGGATCCGAAGAACAAAAGCAAAAGTATCTACCTAGACTGGCCCGGGATTCCATAGGTAGTTTCTGTCTATCAGAATCTGGTTCAGGATCGGACGCTTTCTCTTTGAAAACTGAAGCAAAGAAAGATGGAGCCGAATACGTGATCAACGGTACGAAAATGTGGATATCGAATTCCGACGTAGCGCAGATTTTCATAATTTTTGCCAATGCGGACCCTGCCGCCGGTTATCGCGGCATCACAGCCTTCCTCGTGGACCGTGATACACCAGGTCTGACGGTGGACAAGCGCGAGGATAAGTTGGGTCTTAAAGCATCAGGCACTTGCATGGTACACTTCAACAACGTTAGGATACCCGAAGACAATCTGTTGGGAAAGTTCGGACATGGATATAAGTACGCGGCTGGATTTCTGAACGAAGGTAGAATCGGTATTGGCGCACAGATGATTGGCATAGCACAGGGATGTTTGGACGCGACCATACCGTACACGTTGGAAAGGAAACAATTTGGACAGGAAATTTTCTCCTTTCAAAGCCTACAGCATCAAATAGCTCAGGCGGTAACGGAATTGGAATGCGCCAGATTGCTCGTTTACAACGCGGCGAGATTGGTGGAAACTAATAAGGACGTCATAAAGGAAGCAGCTATGGCGAAACTTTTCGCGTCCGAAACTGCGTGTCGTATCACCGGAAAGTGCATAGACTTTGTGGGAGGTGTCGGCTTTACGACCGATTTTCCTCAAGAAAAATATTATAGAGATGTAAAAGTTGGTACTATTTACGAGGGTACAAGCAATATACAGTTGTCGACGATTGCGAAATGTATCCGCAAGGAATATTCATAAATGATGATTAAAAAAAGTACGATTATTCTTAAAATTATGATTATTCCTTAAATTATTTAAATACTTGTTTCGAGGCCGATAATCGGCACGTAGTTTGAAAATGAAAATTATAAAAATTTGTACAAAAATATTACTAAGTATCAAGATCTACTTTGCTCAAATATCGTTTTCTTCACTTATTCATGTTATTTATAATATATCCGTCAATTTTTACTTATTAAAATTTATTAAACATATTGCGTGTATTTCATGTTTTTTGAGAATTTTTTTATATAATACAGCATGTGTATGTAATTTAAAACATTTTTATACTTTTATATGTTATCTAAATTAGAAATAAACGTGTAACAGTGTAACAAATAAATATGTTTTAAATATTAAATTGTTTAAATAATTTTTAATATTGTGTGTGTATATATGTGTGTGTAATTGCATAAGAAAATAAAATAAAATATTTTATTTTCTTATGCGGTTACATATACTATGATAAATAATAGATGCAATCAAATCAATCTTTTTAAATACATTCATTTTTATTCTACTCCTTATCATAAATATCCTACACATATGATTATACCAATATTTATACGAGATTTATCTATATTAATATTACACTTATATACTTTAATACAAAATACAAGCTATATTAGTTTATTAAAACGACAAAATTCTAACGGATATTCTAGAGAAATTATATTCTAAGTGTTTTGACATTTGTAATTAATAAAATATTACTGAAGGCATATGAATACAATGATGAATTAATTTAACTTTTATGTGTGAACTTTTTATTATTTACATATTTTTTTATTAGCATAAAGAAATATGTTAATAAAAAATTAGCATAAAGAAATATGTTAATAATAAAAAATTTATTAACATATAAAGAAATAAATGGATCGATAATCTATTTATTATTTCATTTACGAAATATTTCGCAGTTGCAAACAGTTAAAAAATAAATTATCGTATTGCTAGGATATCGCCCTGTCGGTACAAGGTGTATCTCACACATGTATATAAAATGATATTAATCTTTTTTTTTTGCTTTACTGAATATTATGAACAGACATATTTGAGGAAATTATCTAGTAATAATAAAATTTCAATATTCTTAATAACTTTGATATATTACTATCGCTACTAACATCAGTAACTTGTACTAATGTTATATGAATGAAGCTTGTCATATACGACCATAACTGATTTTAAAAAAGCGAGAAGTTATTCAGGAATTTAGAATTATCGTTTTAAAAATATATTGAATTTCTACTTTGTTAGTAAACATTGTTATTGAAAAAAACCAATTAACAGGGATTACATTATTGAATCGATTTTTCTTATGTTCTCGGATAGAATGCATTACGTTGCTGTGGCGTAAAGTACGCGATATTCGCTCGTCAGCTTCGTAGATAAGTATTCTAGGATTAATTTTATGAGTAATTTAATGTTTATTATAAATTACAGAACGGACGATGAGAAAAATTATAAATCGTAGGATCGATTTGCATTATATACCATTAAGCCAAGAAGTAACAAGGCCATTTTGCCTCGTGTACCTTACACGCGCGCGTATCCCGAGAGGCCGTGAATTAAGCTTCTTATTTTCGGGATACGAGTCGTTATCGGACGGAAACGATTAATCGAGGTGGTGGGCCCGTTCCGTCGGCACATTTTTCTAGAGGAACAACATTGAAAATGTTGAAGGAAAAGTTCAATTTTTATGTTTTTCCATAGGCTACGCTATCGGCGTGAAAATACTTGAGCGTCGAAATTCCATCGTGGACGCGAGCCGATAATCGCGGAAACATTTAATGAAAATGAAAATGAAACCGCATACACGTGGCTATATGTTAATTTGCTTTTTGTATTTCTACTGATTTTAATTTTATAGAAATAACGTCGCAAAGTCGAAGTATGTTTACCGCTCCATCACTTTCCGCGAAACTAACGGGTCGACATATTGGGCAGGTCTCTCTCCGTGGTCCGTGCGCTGCATACTATAGCGCGTCGTTAGCGCCTGAGACTCAACAATCTGGCTATTCTGCATTCTGTGGGATATTGAGATATTCTGTGACTCGATCGTTTTTGGACGTAAAACGTACTTTCAAGAAGATGGAGGACAAAGTCAGTGGAAATACAGCTGTCGAGACTGCCGAGAGCAATGCCGCAGTCACTAAAAAGGCTAGCAAGAGTAAGGTTAAGTCGCAGCAGAAGAAAACATCGGCGCGGCCACCAACCTCTGAGATGGTGACAGCAGCTATCAAACAGTTGAAGGATCGTAAAGGCTCGTCCTTCCAGGCGATCAAGAAGTACATTGTGTCAACGTACAAAGTGGACGGCGAGAAGGTTGCTCCGTTTATCAAGCGATACCTGAAATCCGCCGTTACTGCAGGTGCTGTCGTGCAAACCAAAGGTAAAGGCGCCACCGGCTCTTTCAAATTGTCGACGGACAAGCCTAAGCCCACCAAATCCAAGGGAAAAGCGCAACGTGCCTTAGGTAATTCGGACGTGTGGAAAGCTAGTACGAAGAAGGACGCGCAGACAGAAAAGGCTCCACGGAAACCAGCTGTCGCAAAGAAAACTACCACCGCTAAGAGAGCTGCGACGAGTCCGAAGAAACCAGTTGCTCAGAAGGCTGTCGCGAAGACTGCCGGAAAGAAAGGCAAGGCTGCCACGGAGCCCAAGTCACCGTCGAAGGCAAAGAAGGCTGTGAAAGCACCTGCAGCAAAGACTAAGACACCTAAACCGAAGAAAGCCACAGGGAAGGCTGTGAAGGCCGCAGCAAAGAAATAATTGTTCTGCGATGGATACACTCGCTGCAGTCACAAATGGCCCTTTTCAGGGCCCAAATTATTTTTAACGAGGAATAACTCAAATGCTCGCAATTTATATTTTGTTTTTATTTCTAATCCTACATATGATTATTTCAATATCTTAGGTATTTTAATTAACATAACGAACATAAACGTATAATGCATAGTGAAATTATATTTATGAAAACTAGATCATACAGATACGTCATAGTTAACATATTTCATATAAAGAACTTTGTACATTTATTATTTTATACGCCTTTCATGTTAGGAAGAACTTTGCATATTTTTCAGAAGTATTCGTTCTCTTTTTAATTGTAACTTTAATATATTTAGCTTGATTTTTTCTTGTTCCATTCTGATTTTGCTCTCCTCTTCTTCTCTAATTTCTCTATTAAGCTGAGTGCGAAGAAGTTTCAATTTTAATAAGTTTTCTCGCCTTTTATATTCAATATTACTATTAACGTTATTAGATGTTCCATTGTTAGCTTTTTGATCATTGTTAGAAGAGATTTTCTGGTTCTTATTCGGCACGAATTCGGCAACATCGAAAGATGATTTTCTGGATACATTCGTAACATTTGTCGAATTTGCCGGGACACTTGTACTTTGCACACCAGTGTTGTCAATTCTGAAAAGAGACGTAATTTTATTATTTTATCGATTCATTTCTATTTACTAATTTTCATATATTGAAGTTACTATATACATATATAAGCATTATCTAAAATGAAATAATCAATAAACATGAGACAAAATTAAGATTTTTACAATAAAAAAATTATGCATTATAATCTGTTAAAGACATGAAATTTACAGAACTGAACCACACATTACGTTTCAAATTTATAATACCTTGTTTTCTCGCATGTCTTTGGTAAATCTTCATCAGTCTGTTCCATTTTTATCTAACAAAAGAATTAATCAAAATATGAATAAAAGAATGAAATATTCAAATGTTTCTTCGCAATCTGCAATGATTACTTACCTTCAAATTATCTAATATTTCATTTGTATATTCTATAGGTTTCTCAGTGAATTGAAGTGGGTGAGAAACATAAGAGCCACTGAAATTAAATAATTTATATAATTAACTATATATTTATATTCATGTAATTTTATCTTTCACTGTTTTGCTGTTTGCAAGGAATTATTCGAACTTTAAATTATACATATAAATTAATTCTCTGTCGAATAAAATTCCAAAAATTTTATAATTTATTGATATAAAACAAGACATTCTATTGAATATATAGTGTAATATTATGAGCAAGATTTAGATATAGAAAAATAATGTATAACATATGTACCTGTTTGTATCAAAAGAAGGTGATACATTGGATAATTCATCATACTCGTTCGTAACATGCTAAACATAAAATATATATCAATATCTACATTTGTACGTATGTAAATAGTTCTTATTTATATATTTTTTGTTTATACATATATGTGTGTCATATTTATATATATATTTACTATTTATTATATTATATTGTAAATTACTTTATATTCAAACACATTGCAATTTATAAATAGAATTAATGTTAAAAATTATTTGAATTATATTGTAATATTAATTCTATGCAAATAAACCTACAATTAAATATTCTCTACAATTAAATATAATTACTAATTACTATACAAGATGCTTATACATAATAAACTGTATTATAACTATATAAATGTGGGGAGAAACATTTACATTTTTTTATTTGAAATTACTATTCGAAAAGTGTATCTTAAAATTAATTTTTGCGATTTATTATATATAAAATTTTTAATTATTATTTATATGAAAATAATTATATCAAAGTTTAGATTTCTTTATATTATACATCATAAAAAAACATTGTACTACGATTTATAGAAAAATTAAATACATCTTTATATACACATTTTTTCAATTTTGTTTTTAAAAAAACTATGTTGCCCCGCGTCCCTATTTCACTTACATTATTTTCGAATTCGTTCGAAAAATTACTCTCATCATCCTCAAATTTTTGAGAGGATACATTATATATCATATAATCAAATTCCGTTGGTGACATACTCGTTGGTATATTGTCGCCCCATTTTTGTAAAGCAGTGATGTTCCTTCTGGCAAACCACTTCCATCTTTGATATGCATGTCGCACTTCCTTCCAGTCTCTTACGACCCCGAATGCCTCCAGTTTCTCTGTTAACTCCCGCCATTTGTCGCGCTTTTTCAAGTACACTTCCGAAGTGTTGCTCTTGTTCTCCAAGATTTTCAGATGCTCGTTCACAAATCGAACGACGAATTCCTTCTCCTCTCGCGAAAAGTTTTCGTTCCTTGTTTTTCTGATCATTAAGAATAAAAATGGCGGCCAGTCGATATTAATGAAACAACCAAGAACTATGCACCTCTCTTTGTCTTCCAATCGTATTCACGTATCCGCGTCTTCAAGCGTTCAGAACTGATCGCTCGCTTCAGAGAGCTTTCTCTTTATCTGCAGCAGTGGAAGCTACGTACTGACTGTATTATAGGGCAAGAGCCGAGAGCACAGGCTTTTGCATAACGTGTAAGAAAATCAACCAATCAGAGTCCTTCCTTTCATGGAAAGGAGAACCCTCAGGCTGGTATTCATAGTCGGTTCTTATATTTAAGACCGTCTTAAATAGTCTTAAGATGTCATAAGCCAATCACAAAACAGTATTAACAGGGCCGTATTAATCCGTTTTGCACCTAGAGGCTAAAATATTTCGAGCGACATTTTACAAAATATGATGTTACCGGGTAAAGTTTTTTTCATAAGTTATATTAAATTAATTAAAAAGTTGATTTTCTCGAGATATCTTGTCCTAATAAACCCTTTATTTGAAATATAAAGAAAATAAAACTACAAAAATTAAAGTATGTTAGTTATAATTAAAATGGTTTTTTTCTACATTTTAATGTAAACAATTCATCGACATTATCGTAATTTAAGCTCATGACAATAAATTCGATACGAAGAACAGAAAGCAAATTTAATATTTCTTTACTACGAATCGTGTTTCGCTATAAATTCTCTCGTCTATCTATAGTGACTTAAAATCACCCATATATCAATGCTAAATTTAAAAAAATCTTTCTAAAATTTGCTGCCCTAAGCACTTGATCTATGTCACGGCACTGCGTATGAGCATCTTAAAATATTACTTAAGACTGTCTTAAAATAAGAACAGACTATAAATATCGACCGGATTGTTAATTCTCTTATATCTTGTGCAAAAGGCTCCGCCCAACAACGAGCAATTTGACTGTAACATTTATCGTTAATGTTAAACGTTAAAATATATATTTATGAATTATGAAACTTAAATTGACAAATATCCATTCGAAGCTACACGTTTATACATTTTAATATTTTGTGGAGGGAGATGCATTAATGCAAATTAACATTGTTACTATTCATTATGTTTGTACTAACTGCCCCATAGCAATAAATATTTGGATTGAAATAACATTAATTTCTAACGCGATTTACTACATAAAATTAAATCAGAGTAAAGGAAAATATGATTCTTTATTTCTTAAGTGCTTTGATTTCTAATATTGCCAATAAAAATTCTGATAAATGTTTAGTATAATGCTCTCTTCGATTTTTTTTGCAATATTAATGTGTATTTTAGAACATGGAATAAATTCAGGAAGAAAACTGTCACTAAGTTCCGTTCTTTTGAGTATAAATTTTGATATCAGTTAGAAAGTGATAAATTAACAAGTCTCTGCTTTAATCAAAAGTTTAAATTATTTTTTATACAGATTATAGCAAAAAAGTTTGCGATTCAAAAGTGTATACTTTAGTGATCAAAATCTTCTGAAATTAGAAAAAAAAATGGGATTTGCAACGATTATTCTCCTAGAAATATAGAATATACTCCACGCTTGAAAACACGAATTCACAGAAAAATCGGAGAACAGTTATATATTAAACATTTCACTGCAACTCGAAGAGCACGTATATATACGTAATTTTTAATTACTTATCAAGGTATGTATGTATGTAGTATATAAATATGCTTTTAGAGAAAATTCCGACGTATTAAAAATTGTTGGCCCTGAAAAGGGCCGTTGATTTGATTTTGACAAGTGGTAGAGTGAATTAACCACCGAAACCATAGAGGGTTCTTCCTTGGCGTTTCAGAGCGTAGACCACGTCCATAGCTGTTACAGTCTTCCTCTTGGCGTGTTCGGTATAGGTCACAGCATCACGAATGACGTTTTCCAGAAAGACTTTTAGGACACCTCTGGTCTCTTCGTAGATCAAGCCAGAAATACGCTTGACACCGCCACGTCTAGCCAATCGACGAATGGCTGGCTTGGTGATACCTTGGATGTTATCACGCAAAACCTTCCTATGGCGCTTCGCTCCTCCTTTTCCCAATCCCTTTCCTCCCTTACCACGACCAGTCATTTTGAACTATACTCGGATATGATCAACAATGCTAACTCCGTGAGAACTCGACGGAAAGTGTTGCCACAGGTCCGTTGGCCATGCTTATATAAGTGAGAGGCAGCCCGTCGTATCCCCTCTCCTATACCAATAGCCAATCAGCGCCTTAGTAATATAGTAGCGCAGCCGTAACGCTGAAACTGCGCGAGAGAAATATAATTTTTTCTCTCTCTCTTTTTCTTTTGAAAATTGAAAGTATTATTTTATTGCAGACTGATTTTAACAGTTCTTTATCTGTATTACTTATTAAAAATGTATATTAATTACTAAATTTTTAAAACATGGAAAAATGTTTATAATGTCAATAATACGGCTTACTATTACGTATTGAATTGACATTTTTCTAAATTCTGATGTCATCGATATTAATATTATAGTTGTATTTATATAATTTTATTGAATGTATTTAGCTATATCTATTATAACCTTATCACAATAATTTAAACTTATATGCATTACGTATTACATAGTGTCTCGTTCTATGTCACAAATAAGCATTTGCATTCGAAATAAATCATTTAACACTAATCACATTTCTTGGATTTTTATTGATTGAAGAATATTTTTTTGTTTTTATATAATTTATGGAGCCAACACATAGAAATAATTTACGAAATACAATATAATTTAAAGGAGAATGAAAATTATATTCAAATATAAATCGAAAGATATGACTATGAAAAAACTAACTCTTATTTATTTAAACTTTTCTAAAAACAAGTTAAATTTTTTATTTATAGATACACAAACTTTTCAAATAGAATTTCTGGAGTCATTTGAAAATTTTATTTTATTTTATTTTAGCTTTATAAACATCTTTTCTCAAATTAAAAAGGAAAAATATATATGTTATATATGATAAATTGTCAAGAAAAATAAATATTTCAATTTCTCTTACAAGTGTAAACAATATTAATGATTAGTTATTCATTTGTTTTTTCAGATAAAAATTTCTAAAATTGTTAATTGAATGAGTTTAGAAAATTTTTTATATTAAATTCAAATGTATTTATATAGAAAAATATTACATAAAAACATTATAAAGATAAATATTTTTGGCGGAATAAATATGTATCAAAGAAATTATGAGATGTCCTAACGAAAAAATATTGTTCTTATCGTAAGAAGGGCTGATCATGATTGATAATTACATTTTTAACAGGAAAGATTAACTGCGGAATCTATATTCTTTTTTGACATTTCTATATGTGGACGACATCCATATTCATTAGAATCTTTCTTTTAATGCACGTATAATGTCTTTATATATAGTGTTCTGATATTATCATACTAAGTGAGATTCAGTCCAAACCTACGCATCTAGTTTTTGGTAGTGTAGTCCTCGAAGAGAGTGTGACAATTACTTTACCTAGGCATACACTTTATAATGCAAAGAAGGTTCCACATGGGTTTATAAATAGCATACGTTTACTTTTTAAATGCAATGAAAATTATTTTGTTAACAATTTTTGAAAAATAGTGACCATATATTAAAACCTTTTAAAAATTACTCATTACAATTTTAACAATTACATATATCAAAGTCGAGATTATTGGAATTGGTCATCTAAAGTGAAGGTTTACTACTAAAATTACATGTTAATTCTAAATATCTCAGAAACTATGAAAAATCAATATCTAGTTATTAAGGCAAAGTGACTTAAAGTTTTATTTTTGATAACAAATCAAAATCAAGATTTTCAAGAATGTCCTTAATCTAAATAGTTATGAATTTATCTTCTCAAATTTATCATTGAAACAATAAAACAAGTATTTTTGCTAATAAAATTTTCCATCAACAAATTTATTAAATTATTAGCAATAAAAAGTAAGTGCGATAAGAAAAAACATAAAACTGGAAATACTCTATTTACAAAGAATAATGTTCATTGTAATTCGTTATAGAATTTCACACCTCGCTCAAGTATTTCACGTTTTCATCATAAGCTTTAAGAGATTAGCATAATGTCAATTTACATTTATAGCAAATTTAAAAGAAATCGGAGTGTATCCAATTAAATAAATTTACTATATAAAATCGATTTACGATTAGCACAAGATTATAAATTTCAGAATATGTATGCTTTTTAATAAAATAAAAAATAATAAGATACAATAAGAAAGAAATTGTATACAATAAAAAGTATCTTTCTCGATAAAATGTCATTAATGTAATGTACATAATATTGTCATTTATAATTAAATTTATATAGAATGTTAAAAAAAACCATTGAGCATTTATATGATAGATAGTACATACCATACTGAATAAAAAACCTTAGTGAATATAGGTCGAAAATTCGTTTCTGAGATATAAACATTTTTGTATGTTAACATCATGAATGACTTACTGGCTTCTACATGTCGCGTGTGATGTTTACCTCAGTGTTTATAAACTACGTTTTGTATATCCTCATTCAATTTCCATACATATTTTATAATAGAAGATTTCACTGGCAAACGGAAGATATGTGGAGTATTTTCTGTAAATATAGCAAGTAATTCATTCATGATGCTAATATATAAAAAAATATTTCAGAAACGGTAAAGCTTTCAAGAGAAAGCTAAGATTTACTAAGATTTTTGTACTCTTCTTAGTATGGTGTGAATTATCTACCATAAAAATGCTAAATATTTTTTTTAACACCCCGTATATACGTATATTTGAATTTCAAAAAAATTGTAAGTATAACTTGTCTTTTTAAAATTATCTTTGAGAAATAAAACACATTTTTAGAAATAAAAGTGTCTTATTATCTTTTATTAACAAGTTTGTTAATAAATCATCAGCGAGACAGTAGGCGCCATAAAGATTATTAAATTAGAAACGCTCTGTTTTTACAGAGACAACATTCATTACAATTTGCTAAAGTATATTTTATCGAAGACTTCAAGAACTTAGCAACTAGCGGATTAGGCTACAAGTACGCTGAAATACTGTTACGTAATAGTGCAAAAAGTGTCGCTGTGGTTGACCTGCCAACATCAAACGGCCAGAATGCGGTACCTAATTATTTTGGAAAATGAATTTGAGAAGGGTCGTGCTGTCTTCCTTATTTGTGACGTGACGAAAACTGACGATTTGAAGGAGACGTTAAAGAAAATCGTCGATGCATTCAAAAGCCTTGATATTATTATCAATAACACTGATATATTGAATAATAAGTATTGAGAGGAAACATTCGATCTCAATGTTAAGGCACTAATTCATGACTCTATGTTCGCATTTGACTACATGGAGAAGCATAAAGGCGGTGAAAGTGGTGTAATAGTTAATATTGCATCCATAGTTGCATTACATCCATTTTATATTATGCCAATGTATTACGTTTCAAAATTAGCTATTTTGGGATTCAATCAGTTTTTAACAAGTATGTACGATAAAACTGGAGTGCGAGTTGTTATCATGTGTCCGAGCGTAATATTGGTAACAGATATCAACAGTAAGATCTATGACTCCGTTCTCACTGTGATAGATAATGCTAACGATGAAGTGAAAAAATATCCGATACAGACAACCGATAATGTGGCGCTTCCATTGATAGATCTTATTCGGAGAGTAAAAATGGAGCAGTTTATATCAGCGAAAATGGTGAACCGCCATTCGCCCCAACGAATTTTCCCCATTATTTAAAACGATCTCTGTCTATGTAAATTAATATTTAATAATGCCTTACGTTATTTTGACTAATTTACATGACATCTATCAAATCAATTATGAAATTGTCCTTTTTGAAATAAAAAATTGCATTGATATTTAGTTGACTGTACAGGTATATCTATGATATAATATTAACTATGTTCTCACATTTTCTATCTTGAAATTTAATTCTAAAATCTTAAGAATCATATATAAACAAATTAATAAGAAAATCGAGGAAGATATAGTTTATAAAACGACACGTGTATATATTGTAAGTACGATTACCAGTCGTATGTTTTACGAGGTTATAAAATATTTAGTTATTAAATGAAATATATTTATAAAATTATATAAATAAAAATTAGCAATAAAAATGATAATGTAAAATTTTATTTTATATTAAAATTACCTACATTTAATGTATAGAAATTGTATTGCCTCTTCCGCTCCTGGATTATCATCTTTTAAAGTGTTAACATATACGTACTCTTTCCTTATAGTATCCTAGTATTGTAATGATTTTTTTAAATATATATTGCATTAATTTATGAACTTTTTCACCAGTCTAATTAAACATTTTTTTTTACTTGAGCAGGTAATTTTGCAAATCTGATGTTATATTTATAATTGATGATTTTATAAAAACTCGTTATCTTTTGCATGAAACTTTATTTTTTATATCATTGTTTTATTTAGAGATAATAAAACGGTGAAACTGTTAAAACTATAACTTATAAATAAAAATGTTAAAACAGAAGTGAAATATTTCTAGCCTTACACTTATGCTAAATTTGAATGAAAATGGAGTGTTCAATTAAATAGGATATAGGCTAGATTATAACGACACAATATTATAAGGTTTACATTTTTTTTATTTAATTATTTTAATTGATATATTTCCTTTTTAAATAAATTTATTTAGTACGAACTTAATTTGCGATAGTGAGGGATGAAATTATTAGAATGCTCTATCCCTATTACGAGTCTAACGAATACGAAAGTGCTTTTGTGCAGTATTTCCAATCCAGTATAGTTCACAACATAATTGACATTCCAGATTGTTCATTGTGGTACTTAATTTCAAGATCACGAATACTGTTATTCATTTTGGAATGATTATAACTACATACATTTTAGAATTACGTGTTTTCACGCAACTTATTTATTTATAGCATAATGGTAACGAATAAATGGATATTAAAAGAAAATATATTTTTAATATAATTTATATTAACTGGTTGGAAGTGCATAAGAATTAAAGGAAATATAATGATAATAAAATTGCAAATGAAATATTCTTCGTATGAAAAAATTAGTGGCCCTAAAAAGGGCCGTTTGTAATTGCTGCAGTTAAGCTTTTTTTTCAGTTTTCTTTGGCAGCAAGACTGCTTGAATGTTCGGCAGTACGCCACCTTGAGCGATTGTAACACCAGAGAGCAGTTTGTTCAATTCCTCGTCATTGCGAATGGCCAGTTGGAGATGCCTAGGAATAATTCTGGTCTTCTTGTTGTCACGAGCGGCATTTCCCGCCAATTCCAATACTTCAGCGGCAAGGTATTCCATCACTGCAGCTAGATAGACCGGAGCACCGGCGCCAACGCGCTCGGCGTAATTTCCTTTTCGCAAAAGTCTGTGAATACGACCAACGGGGAACTGGAGTCCAGCACGATTAGAGCGAGACTTCGCCTTTCCCTTAGCTTTTCCACCTTTGCCACGGCCTGACATGGTTGCAGTTAGAAAAGAATGAGATTACACAACGATACGAAGGGTACGACGTTTCCACTCGAAGTGTTACTTCCACCGGTTCTTGGCGAGTATTTATACGATATTACGATGGTTACGCGCATCCAATCGGATGTCGAGCGCGTGACGATTGGTTGTATCGAGTCACGCGATTGGTGCGCCACCACTGTCGCTTTACTGTATATATAGAGCACACTGCGGCTCGGCGCCGCCACTTTTCGAAGTTCCGTCTCAGCGATTGCTTGCGCGGCGCTAAACGAAGAATTGAATCATGCCACCGAAAGCGAGCGGCAAAGCGGTGAAGAAGGCCGGAAAGGCTCAGAAGAACATCAGTAAAACCGATAAGAAGAAGAAAAGGAAGAGGAAGGAGAGCTATGCTATCTACATCTATAAAGTGCTGAAGCAAGTTCATCCAGACACTGGAATCTCCAGTAAAGCTATGAGCATAATGAATAGCTTTGTCAACGATGTCTTTGAGCGTATCGCTGCTGAGGCATCGCGTTTGGCTCATTATAACAAACGCTCTACTATCACCTCTCGGGAGATCCAAACTGCTGTCAGACTTTTGCTGCCTGGAGAATTGGCGAAGCACGCCGTGAGTGAAGGCACTAAGGCTGTCACCAAGTACACCAGCTCCAAGTAAATTATTGCTCTCAAGATAAACGGCCCTTTTTAGGGCCACAAATTTATTTATACGTTTGGTTTTCTTCTAGTTCGAATTTTTTTATATATTTATGTATTAATTCCTGAAATTTTCAAATCCTTAATTATTTTATTGAAGTTTTTAAATTATAATTAGTCATTAAGATAATTTGTATAATAAAAACTTGTAACTAGGATTTCTAATTTAATTCTTCATTTATAATTACATTTTATACAAATATTTTATAAAAAAATATTTATAATTACGTTTTATATTCTTTTTAATTTTCATAAATCGCTTATGAATTTTGTAATAGAATTCGGTAAGCATAAACTTCTATGAAAAAATTAAAAAAGAATATGGTGGAGAATATTTATCGAAAATTTTACGTGTCGCGCGCGCGCGTGCATTTTTGAAATATTCCCCAAACGCTACAAACTTTTTAATAGTTTTATTGTATACAAGAAGTCATTCTACAAAAAACTTACTTATATAAAAAGGTTTAGGAAAAAGTAAGTTTAATAAGGTCTTTTTTAACATCCTTTACCCACAAATTGTCTACGAATATTTTCTAGTTGCGTTGCATAATTGATATTTTTATCAAAGCAGCAAAGATGGTATACAGTATTGCATAATTTTCAACCAGTAGAAGAAAATTTTTCGATATAGTCGTGCTTTCTTACCTGCGAAGGCTGCGAGCGATGGTCATTCTGATGCGAACATCTTTGATGTGAGTCAGCTTTTTTTTGGAATCTCATTTAAACTCTATGCTTTCGCTTCCTAAAAAGTTATTGAAAAAAATTAAAAAAAAAAAGACTTATAAAAGTAATAATAGAATAAGAATAATTAATTAAAGTTTTTGTATATATATTCTAATGTTAAATTTATTGAATTAAAGTATTAATTCAATGTTATTTTAATTTTTTGATTATAATTAATTATCCAGAAGAACTGCCTTACTTCGATTGTTAAGTAGCGACAGCCAAAGGCAAGGATGAAAAAAAGAGAAAAACGTGACTCGTTGGCTTTTGCTAATTAATGATACCGACATTGACAACTGTCGGTAACTACGTATGGAATAGTCCTTAGTATACTATTCTGTATATAACTTTGTGTAATTTAATAACCTGGGCGGTAATGGCTCAGGAAAGGATATAACTTTTTTATTACAGCTTTTTCAAAGACTTAATAATATTTAAATATTAAAAAAGTTAAATTATCGGTTGTGTCAAGTTATTTAGTACACATTCCTGTTGGAACAAGTACAACCTATTCTGAGGGACAAAGATGGAGCTCTATTAAATTGGCGAATAGCTACGAAATATGTCGAATTAATGTTGGAGTAACCAGTCTAATTTAGGTTGTACTTATGGTAGGCAAAACATTAATTCGTATATTTCATACAAATATGACGAGATAGTTCTGAAGAACCACTCGTCCGCGGCGGACGTTTGGTTCCTTTATTTCGGTTCGGCTGCTTTTATCTTGTGTGTTTTTGAAAGAATTGCCGACTTAGGGGCTCCGCACAATAAAAGGAACAGGGGATAGAGAACAGAATAAGAATTTCAACCTATCAAAAATCATGTATTGTGGAATACACTCTGTGTGTTCCACAATACATGATTTCTGATAGGTTGAAATTCTTATTCTCTGTTCTCTGTTCCCTGTTCCTTTTATTGTGCGGAGCCTCTTAGACCAGTATTCATAGTCAGATCTTATATTCAAGATCGTCTTAAGTACGGTCTTAAGAAGTCATCAACCAATCAGAAGGCTGCATTAGTGTCTTAAGATATTACTAGAGACGGTCTCGAAATAAGACTCGACTATGAATACCAGCCTTAGACTATAGGTCTGCTATAGGTCTGTTTTCTGTGACTGAACCAGTGTACACTTTTGGAACTTAAAATGAAATAGGTATATATTTGATATTTGTCGAAAGCAAGAAAGAGACTTCTAGTGCAGTCTAGTGCAGAAACAGAAAACAGACCACATATGTTTTGATAAACATATAGCTGTCTCGCGGTTTTGGACGATTCGTCCATTCGTGCTGACACGTATCCGTGCGACGTGACAACGTAAACGTAAGGTACCTAACCCCTATTAACCTGGACCCCCCACTATTGAAAATCAAAATCGCGATGGTCAAAAATTTAGTGCTCTTTATTTGTTAATTATTTGCTAAAAAAAATTTTTTTGCTTCAGCGGTTTAGTGGGAATAAAAAAATAAAATAGGGGGTTCAGGCTGAAAAAAATAGATCCGGTGATGCTACAATAAAATTAAGCACACCAGATTTTTTTGCTTTTTATTTGCTCGAAAATAGCGTAAATAAAATTCGAAAATTTAATATTTTTAATATTAAATCAATACTAGCGGTTGCGTAGCGAGAACCTACACGGCCCGCGCCGCGCTACTTCAAGTCCCTTTTCTACCTCCACAGAATTATTTACTCGAATGTATTTGTATTTGATATCAGAGTAATCGTTAAGTCACGTACTACGAAAATATGACCAAATCCGATTTATTTGCTAATTGTAAAGTGCCGAAAACAGCCAGGATATTGAGCACGAGCGCGCGGTCAAGCAGCGCGCTGCGTATCAGTACCATCTTAAATGGCTCGTGGAATGTCGTAAGAATTATTTGCTTGCATGATTTTGGTGGCAAATTAATCCTAGGACTGTATACTATCGATTCATGCTGAAATACGATTTATTTGCTAACTGCAAAGAGCCGAAAACAGCCGGGATATCGAACACGAGCGCGCAGCCAATCAGCGCGCTGCGTATCACTAGGGTCTTAAAACGCTCGTGGAATGTCGTAAGAATTATTTGCTCGGATGTTATCGGTGCCACTGCAATCCTGACAACGCCCTATCGAAAACTGCCAAATTTCGATTTATTTGCTAATTCTAAAGTGTTGAAAATGTCGAGTTAAGTGAGAACGCTCCGCGACGTACTTGCAGATGTGTTTCTAGCGTCCAGGAATTATTTGCTCGCACGATTTTGGTAACAAATTAATCCTGGGACTGTATACTATCGATTCGTGACAAAATACGATTTATTTGCTATCAAAATCATGCAAGCAAATAATTCCTGGATATAGTCACATCTGGAAGTACGTCGCGGAGCGTTCTCTCTTAACGCGACATTTTCAACACTTTAGAATTAGCAAATAAATCGAAATTTGGCAGTTTTCGATAGCGCGTTGTGTCAGGATTGCAGTGGCACCGACAACATTCGAGCAAATAATTCTTACGTCATTCTACGAGCGTTTTAAGATCCTACTGATACGCAGCGCGCTGATTGGCTGCGCGCTCGTGCTCAACATCCTGACTGTTTTCGGTACTTTGCAGTTAGCAAATAAATCGTATTTCGGCACGAATCGATAGTATACAGTCCCAGGATTAATTTGCCACTAAAATCATGCGAGCAAATAATTCTTACGACATTCCACGAGCCATTTAAGATGGTACCGATACGCAGCGCGCTTGACCGCGCGCTCGTACTCGATATCCTGGTTGTTTTCGGCACTTTACAATTAGCAAATAAATCGGATTTGGTCATATTTTCGTAGTACGTGACTTATTACTCTGATATCAAATACATTCGAGCAAATAATTCTGTGGAGGTAGAAAAGGGACTTGAAGTAGCGCGGCGCGGGACGTGTTGGTTCTCGCTGCGCGATCGCTGGATTTAATATTAAAAATATTAATTTTCCGAATTTTATTTACGCTATCTTCGAGCAAATAAAAAGCAAAAAAATCTGGTGTGCTTAATTTCATTGTAGCACCACCCGATCTATTTTTTTCAGTATGGGGGGTCCAGCTTTATATTAACCTTGACCCCCCAATTAATTTTTTTATTTCCACTAAACCGCTGGAGCAAAAAAAATTTTTTTTTAGCGTATAATTAGCAAATAAAGAGCACTAAATTTTTGACCTATCGCGATTTTGATTTTCGATGGTGGGGGGTTCAGGTTAATAGGAGTGAGCATCCATGAGCAAACAAATGGAAAAAATATTCGATTTTTTAATATTAGGGAGGTTAGCGTGAAGTGGACCCCACAAAATTTAAATTTCGTATATCTTTTGAACTAAGGGTGAGCAAACGAAAATTCGGACGGGACAATCGTGAGCAAATGATGAGTAAACGAATGCAAAAAAAAATATTCGATTTCACTATTCGAAAACACGAACTGAACGAATCCAACACACCCGGTGAGCTCGGGCGCCAGGTGTCTCCTCTGGTCAGATTGATGTTCAAATGAAACATCATCTGGCGGAAGGTGTACGAAGATTTTCTCCTGTAACGTAAAACAAAAAAAAGGAAGCAACATGTACCATGGTAACATTAGCGTTCGATAATACATAATTGTATTATAAAATTGTTTATGGTATTTAACTAAAGAATTCCATCCGCCATATTGATTCAACCACTTTGAATTTTCAAATCTTCAAACCGCCATAACGATTCGGTCATTTTTCTTATTCAAACATTTTGAATCCAGATTCGTAATATTATATTTTATAATGTCTAAAAAGGAGAGTATAATGGAGAAGCGCGCGCAGGGAATGTGCCAATATATTTAAAAAAGCATATTATTTAATTTAAAACATGATATTGTATTACGGAGCAAAGTTTCAGCTTAAAGTCTATTTTATTAATTAAGATACGATGATTTTTAACGGAGTTATGAGCAATCAAAATCAGAATGCTCTTTTATATAATCCGCGTGTAACTTGGTAACAAAAAGTCGTAGGAACATTTTAAAAACAAATTTTAAAAAACTAAGCTTTCACATTAGGTAGTCGAAAATTTCGTAATATATTCTGTATATAATTAAGCTAACAAAATTCCAAAAAACTTTTTCTCCAGCCCAATATTATTTGGTATAAAATTGTAATGAGTTTTACACATTTGTGCAATATCACATTTTCTAATAAGTTTTTCATACTGATAAAGCTATTATTATGGCACAAGTACATACGGCAACATGACAACACTTTTCATAACTAGCGCTCAATAAATTAATTTAATTTATGTGGATTAGAATAACTAAATTATAATGAAATCCTTCCTTGAATAATTAGTAATGAAGTAAAAAAATCCCGCCATATATGGCAGGAGATTCAAATTATTCAAATCTATTCAGAAAAGAAATGAAAATACGCAGCAAAAATTTAAAAAATGTGCAACTTATTGGACAGAAAGTATAGCAAACATAAAAATAATACAATTTTATCGGAAAAAAGTGAATCTTTCATTGAAAAAGTAAGTAAAAGTGAGCCTTCTTCAAAATAGGTAGCGAGTAAAGTGAAAATAGTGACAGCGGCAAGCCTGCATGTGTACAATTCAGAAGATATTTCAAATACATTCGACATTTTAAATTAGTAAGGTAGAGTGGAGTGTTGTGTGCCTTGTAAGGTAGAGTGGGGTGTTGTGTGCCGGGTTTTGTTTTTGAACCATAACTTTTTCAAAAATGCATATTGTTGTAATGTTAAACATCCTATTTGTAGCTTATCTCAATGCCGAAGAATCTGTAAGGGCAGTTTTTTGAATTTCGCAAATTTTGAAATTGTTTTATAATTCTGAAAAAAAGTGTAAATTTACGATTTTGAAAATTTGTGGGGTGTTGTGTGCCACGACTGTAAATAGTAGAAAACATTTTTCAATAGTAGAAAGCATTTTTTTATAAATGTTCTTTATTAAACCTTGAAAAAATGAAAATATAAGTGTATAATTGTAATGAAAAAGAAGTTTAATCACTTTCAGCCGCTTCGCATTGAGAACAAGTGAAATATCCCGTTTTCATATTTGCACACTTGAGGTGAACAGTCCGATCGCACTCATTGCAATGAATGGTGTTATTTCTGTTAGGTTTTTTAGGCATATTGCGCAAACAAATAATGCAGAAGTCGACGTCCTCCTCTTCTGATGATCGAGAGGATATATATATTTTCTATATACCGAGACAATTTCATTCTAGAGATATTATATAATTCGCTCACTGACCGGATAGATTTATTTTCAATTGCAATCTCTTTTATCGCACTAAGTAAGTCAGTACCAGTAATATTGGTCTCTGGCTTCGGCGTATTTTTATAAGTATTGCGAGGCATGCTGACTACGAAAATCCTATGAAAAAGAAACAAAAATTACAAAAAAGTAATGAAGTTTCACTTAAAAATTACTACAATTACGTTACATTTGCATGAAAAATGCAAATAATTCGTCTAAAATGTATGACACGTGGTAAAATGTCGAAAATGGAGTGGTACACAACACCCCATATTCCGTGGCACACAACACCCCATATGCTACATTTCGAAATAGCCACCATAACCTCGTTACACGCTACATTTACACAAAATAACTTTAACCATTTTAAAGGCAATAGTCCATAGATACTTTTAAATATCTGAAGATTTACCTGTCGCTTCACTTGCCTGCAAAATTGCGTGAAAAAAATCGTCCACAAAACTTTTCGTAACACAACGAAACTACAACTCGTGAAACTTGTGGGACGCGTGCACAAGCGTCGGATGCTCATGGAAAGTTAGATTAGGTCTACAAAGTAACCTGACATTACGCGGATGACGTCATACTAGTTAAACATGGCGGTAAATCAAGCGGCACACGACACCCCATGGCACACAACACCCCACTCTACCTTAATTATGCGCATTTTATGTAACATATTAATATAAGAAATTAAATTGAATGATTAAAGGATAATATATATTTTTAATATAAAAATTTATATTAACTAGTTAGAGATTGAAAGAATTAATTAAAAGATAATAAATTGTAGAATTGCAAATGAGATATTCTTCGTACATGAAGAAATTGATGGCCCTAAAAAGGGCCGTTTGTAATTGCTGGAGTTAAGCTTTCTTTTCAGTTTTCTTTGGCAGCAAGACTGCTTGAATGTTCGGCAGTACACCACCCTGGGCGATGGTAACACCAGAGAGCAGCTTGTTCAACTCCTCGTCATTGCGAATGGCTAGTTGGAGATGCCTAGGAATAATTCTGGTCTTCTTGTTGTCGCGAGCGGCATTTCCCGCCAATTCCAATACTTCAGCGGCAAGGTATTCCATCACTGCAGCTAGATAGACCGGAGCACCGGCGCCAACGCGCTCGGCGTAATTTCCTTTTCGCAAAAGTCTGTGAATACGACCAACGGGGAACTGGAGTCCAGCACGATTAGAGCGGGACTTTGACTTTCCTTTAGCTTTTCCACCTTTGCCACGGCCTGACATGGTTGCAGTTAGAGAAGAATGAGGTTACACAACGATACGAAGCGTGCGACGTTTCCACTCGAAGTGTTGCTTCCGCCTGTTCTCGGCGAGTATTTATACCATATTGTGATGGTTACGCGCGACCAATAGGATGTCGAGCGCGTGACGATGGGCTGTGCGCGTCACGCGATTGGTGCGCCACTACTGTCGCTTTACTGTATATATAGGCCACACGGTCCCGTGTCCGTCACTTTTCGAAGTTCCGTCTCGGCGATTGCTTGCACGGCGCTATACGAAGAATTGAATCATGCCACCGAAAGCGAGCGGCAAAGCGGTGAAGAAGGCCGGAAAGGCTCAGAAGAATATCAGTAAGACCGATAAGAAGAAGAAAAGGAAGAGGAAGGAGAGCTATGCTATTTACATCTATAAAGTATTGAAGCAGGTCCATCCAGACACTGGAATCTCCAGCAAAGCTATGAGCATAATGAATAGCTTTGTCAACGATGTCTTTGAGCGTATCGCTGCTGAGGCATCGCGTTTGGCTCATTACAACAAACGCTCTACTATCACCTCTCGGGAGATTCAAACTGCCGTGAGGCTGTTGCTGCCCGGAGAATTGGCGAAGCACGCCGTGAGTGAAGGCACCAAGGCTGTCACGAAATACACTAGCTCCAAGTGAATCATTCCTCAAGATCAACGGCCCTTATCAGGGCCACAAATTTATTTATACGTTTGATATTCTCTTTGTTGGAATATTCTTAGAAAACATTTACGTATTTATTTTTATAGTTTCTATTCTTGAATTGAAAAATATATATGTCACGTAAGAAATGAAGTTTTGACATTACAATCATATATGGTTTATAATCTTGTTAGAACTGAAGTTTATATAATAACACTAATTAGGACCTATTATAAAAGCAAGTTAGAATTACCAATTTCTTCATTCTTTGTTGAAAATCGTTCGCAATTCGTGTTATACGATGTTTGATTTTTGTGAATTTATGAGTCCTTTATAAATTTTGTGGATCTTTATTTATCCTTTACGAATTTTTGTGATCATAATATTGAATTTGATATGAACTGAGATATTAACTATGAGAATTAGTTTTAAAAAATGTTAAAATTTATAAATGTGGTATAATTGACATTTTCATCTAACTGCCTTAGAAAAAATATAAATATTAACAATTACTTAAATCAGACGAATATTTAGATAGTTCATAGACATAGGTCTCATAATATTCTGTCTGAATTTCCAAAAAATGCCGTAAAATATTTCAAATTCAAATACTTAATATGTACATTAGCTGAATGATTAAAGTCACGATGTAAGTATATTGTGGCGCCATCTTTCTATATGCAAAATCGCCGTTGTAATATTTTTGTAGTGACTAACATATATTGGTTAGTCTCGGATGTTTCATATTTCTCGTGTAGACATGTCAAAATTAGATACGGTATATACGATAATACCCACGTGTCAAAAAATGTACAAAATACTGCCTTCTTTTATTTAATTAAAATTTAGAGAGTAGTGAATATGGTGATAAACACAGTGCTAAAGGTAAACATCGAACTTGTATTTAGCTCTGGATTATTTTCTAAGCATAGTAAATACTTATTATAGGTTAGTTGTAATATTAAATAGTTTTTGAATATTTTTTTTTTGCAAGTAAGTTGTAAAAATGTTGAGGCGACGACACGTTAATGTTAAGACCGTTAAGGAACTGGATGCATTCCCAAAAGTTCCTGAGGTATATGTTGACAAAACTGCAGTTGGAGGAACATGTGAGTAATAGTTATTATTAAATTCCTTATGTTAAAGATAATATACATACTTATGTATTGTTTAATACTTATATATGTTGCATTTAGCTATGCTCTTTGCTCATTTTGAACGACTTAATTTGGTTCTGTTTCAGTTTCCATTTTTACAGTTCTTATTATCATGTATTTGGTAATAGCTGAAACAAACTATTATCTTGATAGTAGATTACAATTCACATTTGAGCCAGATACTGACATTGATGCAAAACTCCAAATCAATATTGATGTAACAGTGGCAATGCCTTGTGGTCGTATCGGTGCTGATGTATTAGATTCTACAAATCAACATATGATAGATTTTGATTCTTTGACCGAAGAGGATACATGGTGGGAATTAACACAAGAACAAAGAACACATTTTGAAGCTTTGAAGCATATGAATTCTTATTTAAGGGAAGAATATCATGCTATTCATGAATTGCTTTGGAAGTCCAATCAAGTTACTCTGTACAGTGAAATGCCAAAGCGGTATGTGCGAACTAACTTAATTATTTGTGATCCTATGATATTTGTTGAAAATTATAGGTGTATTACAGTTTGAACACAACTATTTATACCATTTAGATCATATGTACCAGATTACGCACCAAATGCCTGCCGTGTTCATGGTAGTCTGAATATTAATAAAGTGGCGGGTAATTTTCATATAACTGCAGGAAAATCATTGTCTGTGCCACACGGTCATATACATATTTCTGCATTTATGACGGATCGAGATTATAATTTTACTCACAGAATCAATAGGTTTTCTTTTGGTGGACCTAGTCCAGGAATTGTGCATCCTCTTGAAGGTGATGAGAAGATCGCTGATAATAGTAAGTTTGTTTTATCTTGTAAGATGTTAAAAACAAACCAGAATGTTATTTCAAATTTAATAGATAATTTTTCTTTCAGATATGATGCTTTATCAATATTTTGTTGAAGTTGTCCCTACAGATATTAGGACGTTATTAACAACATCTAAGACATACCAATATAGTGTCAAAGATCATCAGAGGCCAATTGATCATCATAAAGGATCTCATGGAATACCTGGAATTTTCTTCAAATATGACATGAGTGCACTCAAGATCAAAGTGACACAGGAACGTGATACAGTTTTCCAGTTTTTAGTGAAATTATGTGCCACTGTAGGTGGTATTTTCGTTACAAGTGGTAAGTATTTGCAAATAATGAATTTTTCAATAAGAATAATACAAAGAATTATTGAATTATGTAAATTTGCAGGTTTGGTTAAAAACGTCGTACAAAGTTTCTGGTATATTATAAGCTGCAAATTTTTTAGTTTAGAGAAGAAATCAGATAATCATGGATCTGTCTCATCACATTCCATAAATTATCGGTCGCCTAACACTATAAACTTACTTGACGTTACAGCTCCTCAAAGTATTGATATCATGCAACCTCAATAAAAATTTGTATATTAAGTATTTTATGTATTTTTCTTATGAGATAATATTTGTAAAGTAAACCTATGAAGTTCATCGTACAATGAGGTAATATTATGGTATGAGTGGAAATGTTTAAATAAGTAACGACATTTACATTTAATGATACAATTCAGACAAAATCAATATAAAAAAGTCAACGTCTATGCCATCTTTTAGATATATGTATGTCCCAAGAAACGTCTTTATAGTGTATATCTTTCAGATATGCATATTGTCTGGATTTCCAGATGATGTACATCCAAAAAGGAGATGTAAGGATGTTTTATGAGACATGATATGAGAACATCTTTATATGATGTCTGAATGACATCTTGATGATTACAGAGTGTCGATTATGTCTTGAAATGAGATGAAAATCATAAAAGTGAAAATTTACTAGAATATTTATACATAATTGGTTAACACTTGTAGTGAATTTCCTCATTTTGGAAATTTTCACTTTATTTCAAGATACACAATTAACCTCCAGAAGCGCGTTTAGATTTCTATTAAGAGTGCTTTCCGGATATTATGTTAATTTTGTTTAACATTTGGTGAATAATAAAGACAAAATGATTCCTGAATCCTGAGTGGCATTCTGGTAGAAATCTGAATACAGCCCTGGATATCTTATATCCGCGTTTTGAACATATTGTTCTCTAGCAAGTTTCTATTGTATCTATATGTAATTTGTTGAGTTCATGTCATAAGTACGGCTAATTGTATTTATATGTTAAGCGTTTATGAATGCTTATGGTTATATAAACGTTCATAAACGCTTAACATATAAATATAATTATAGCCGTACTTATGACATGAGCAAACAAACTGATGTAAAAATGACATCAGCTAAGTCAGCTTGTTTGCTGGAAATGTGGCTGTTTGATGACATGATAGTCGCATGTTAATTTGTTTATATTACTATAAAATAATTTATAATAAATGAAGTTTTTGAAATTGCAATACGTTGAGTTTTGTTGAATTGTTAGAAGAAATTAGTGCAATTATAGATAGTCGGCAAATATGCCATTTACTTTATCGGCAGTAAATAACTCTATTTTGATGAAACTCCTTATATTGTTGAAATGGACGTTGGTGCGCTGGTGTACGTTTTACCCACATGTTCTTGAGTTCGTCATCACTTCAGTTCAGTTGATCTATTTATTGCAGATAAACGTGGGTGTTTTTCCACGTAAAGTATGAAATATACGTTGCATATTTTTACAATCGAGTGTAATTTGTGGCTTTTGTAGTAATTTTACTTTCCTTTCTGATTTCCTTATTTTAAGCAATCGATAAGTAATGTGTGCTTAGTAGAGTAGTTTACTGACAATAAGCAAACAAGTTAACCTTAAAATAGAAACTTAACCTCAAAACGCATGAAGTTTTTTCGTATCCTTCACATCGTCATATAACTTCAAGGTTGAAGGCAATTATTATCCATTAACCGGTGAAATTACTCCAAAAAAATATCTTTACGAAAAAATATTAGTAGCTGTCACGATGGCAGACGTACGCGATATTCTGGATATTGAGGTACCGACGATTACGGAACTTACGAAAGAGTCAATATTGGGTAGCGATAAAAAGAATCGTAAGCGCTATGACTACAATAAAATGCCAAAACGTCCTGAGGGCATGCACCGTGAAGTGTTTGCCCTCCTTTGTAAGGATAACAACGATGTACCGCCTTTGTTTCCAACTGACACCGCAAAGGGATACAAGCAGGTGAGAGCCAAACTTGGTATGAAGAAAGTCAGACCATGGAAATGGGCACCATTTACCAATCCAGCACGTACAGACGGTGCGATTTTTCATCACTGGCGTCGTGTTGCTGATGCTGGAAAAGAGTATCCCTTTGCAAAGTTCAATAAAAAAGTTCCTATCCCTACATACACAAATACTGAATATGTACAACATTTAGTGGCCAACGGCTGGACACGAGCGGAGACTGATCATCTGTTTGATTTGTGCAGAAGATTTGATCTTAGGTTTATTATCATCAGAGATAGATGGGATCGCGCCAAGTTCCCTGCTAGATCCGTAGAAGACTTAAAAGAAAGGCAAGGATGATATACATGTATTTATAATTTATTGGTTTGGATATGCTTTCTGGAATGCCATTTTAAATAAATCCACAGGTACTATCAGGTATGTGCTGCATTGATAAAGGCAAAATCCCATACTGACAAGGTATATATCTTTGATGCTGAACACGAGAAGCGCAGAAAGGAACAGTTGAAAAAATTGTTTGAACGTACTCCTGAACAAGTAGAGGAAGAACAAACTCTACTTGCTGAATTACGCAAGATTGAGCAAAGAAAAAAAGAGAGAGATAGAAAGACGCAAGATTTACAGAAATTAATTACAGCGGCTGATCATCAAGCAGATCCTAGGAAGAGTGAAAGAAAATCTTCCAAAAAGAGTAGCAGTTCGTCTAGGAATAGACCGAATAAAACTGATACTTCTCATGTATGTTGTGAAATTGTATTCATATACGCTATGGTACTTTTATATCAAAGTATTTACATTATTTTTACAGGCAGTAGAGTCAGCTGGAATTAAATTCCCCGATTTTAAGAATAGCGGCGTTACTCTTCGTTCTCAAAGAATCAAATTACCAAGTCTCGGTCAAAAGAAAATGAAGGGCATTGAACAAATGCTAAATGAGTTACGTTTAGGTAAAAGAATATAATTCAATTTTTTCATACTGTGCTTATAAAATTTTGAAATCCAAAATTAAGATGGAAACTGTTATTTACGTTATAGAATTAAATCCACCACCGACGGAGCAAATATGTCAGCAATTTAATGAACTGCGCAGCGATATAGTTTTGCATTATGAATTGAGAAGTGCGTTATCAACATGCGATTATGAATTACAATCTTTAAGGCATCAATACGAAGCGCTAGTACCAGGAAAGGTGATTGTCAATGCAAATTCTTCAAATATAATGAATATGTAATTTCATGTAATATCGATTGTTATATTCATCTTATATCTCTCATTTTAGACTTTAACAATACCACCAGCACTCCTACCAAAAACAGAACCGGAAGTTAAACAGGAGATTATTGATGTGGTAGGATCGCCCAGTACGCCCAGTATTACTCATTAATTTAAAATAATCTATATGTAAAATAGAGATTAATCAAATATACTTTGTATATATTGTTCTTTTAATTATCGTTATGCCGATTTTCATACTGAAAGTTATTGACCATGCAGCAGCACCCATTATGATGCGTTATATAACGAATTTTTATTTTATATATTGAAGAAATAAAAATTTTTAAAAACTAACATCATACATGCTTCACTGACATACGAGTGGTATAATTAATGTGACCAGATGTTTCGCTTTCAAGATGGTTGTTTCAATGTTCTACCGAATATAATACTCAAAATATGAAAGAGAGAGAGAAAGAGAAAGAATTATTGTATTATTTTTTAAATATATAGCCATTTTTTTTTATTTTTACATTTATAAATTCTCTCTCATCCATCTGACAAATTCGTTCTGCTTTGGATCCGAAAATCTGATCACATTAGGTATAATGAAATAACGAGAAAACGTAGCGATGGTAATTACTTATATATCTGTGTATTTTATATTGTCGACAAAAAGTAACAATGTACGGTCAAACCGTATAATTTATCTACAACAATCTACAATAGATTACAATATGTTGGTTTGTTTTGTTCTTGAGGATATAAGGGCGGGGTATGTGCTCGGGAGGAAAGGGAGGAAATATAAGATCGGAATGAGATGGGAGGACGAGGGTGTGGGTCGGCAAGTGTGAAGGGTGTCAGATGGTCGTCGATGCAGGCCTTTCTTCGTTCGTGCTCCGTTACTCGCGTTACAGTTGACTCTTTATTTTTTTTGTTCTTTTTCTTCTAATCCTATGATAAATTATTCGAGATAGCTCTAGCCGTACTTGGTACGGAATAATGCGTTATATCTGCGATAATAATCGACAAACCAACGATCATATGTCCCGCATTATTTCGCTACTGTGCCTGTCTCGCGAGAACTCCGCTGATCGAAAGTAAAACGAGAGAGAGAGAGAGAGAGAGAGAGAGAGAGAGAGAGAGAGAGAGAGAGAGAGAGAGAGAGAGAGAGAGAGAGAGAGAGAGAGAGAGAGAGAGAGAGAAAGAGAGAGAGACAATGCGGTCAGGAGAGATATCCGTCCATCAGCCGCGTACGTCTGAGATCCCTTATAGAAATGTAATACTGGAAAGTAGTAACTATTTACTTATTTTGAACAATAAGCTGTTGTCTTTTAATGCTTTTAATATTCAAAATAAGTAATTGTCAGTATTATTAAATTGGCCAGTATTACATTGGTTTTCTATAAGGAAGATTGCTCGCATGTTCACCCTCTCTCGTCCTCGATCATCGTTGTCCTGGCAATCACGGCCAGTTCTTTTTACACTCGACGGTCGCATACTAATCTGTTCTTGTGTCACAAAGATACTTGTCCCTTCCGAGACTCGAGGCAGCGGCTAACTGTTAAGTCGTATCGCTCTTTTGAATATTGGGGATTTTATTTTACAGCTGCGGCCTACAACCTCCGCCATTACGTTTTGAAACCTTATAAAAATTTACATCTCGGTAAGACACATAATACGCTCATGCTTTTTCCCTATGTCGCTCTAGTCTTATTTACTAAGTAATAAACGCTATAAGAAGAGTTTTAAATGCGTATGCAACATCATCGCCGTCCGCGATGTTTCTCGCGTATACATCTACATATACATACATGTCTTTGCGTACGGAACGTTGGAAATATCTCCTCGATAATCGGAGAGATACCGCTCAAGAGTTGGAGCTGCCTCGCGTGGATCGTCGCGTAGCGATCGATTTTGTGCTCCGTATATTCATATTTATTGAACACGGCGGGGCGACCGTGTGACTGAATGATGAACGCCGCTGTCTCGAGGTGTCGTGTCCGATTTCCTAAACGAGAGACAGACTTAAAGATAAAATTCGCTGTCGGTGCACGGAACTTAAAATAAAATAGAACGGAGAAGTAGAAAGTAGTCCACCTCCTAGGAAACAGTTTACATCCTGGACAGTCAAGTAATCGGTAAAGGGAGCGATGGAAGTTGCTCGAAGAAAAATGAAACTGTCGACAATATTCGTCGTTTAACGATCCTGTCCCGCAGGCATTTGAAACGCAACGAGATACATGCTTCTCACTTATCGCGCTTAATTTCGTTAATAACAATAACATATATCCGTATTTCTTGCCCGCTCTCGCGTGTCTTATATATGACAATATAATATGCATTAATATATCATATGTATGTACAATGGCGATGGAAGGGAGCGCTCTTATTCCTCTTTCTCGCACAACAAGACACGTGTGAGATTTCAACGTGCGAGAATCTTCGGGACTCTCGAGCACTCGATAAGGTGCTCCGATTTGTTCACATCACCGATTCGCAGAGCATCGTCCGATACTATCTCAAGCAGAACGCAAGTCATGACATTAAAATGTGATGTCAAGATAATTCCAAAATAATTACTAAAAGTCGCTTTTCAATAATTTCTGCCTTACGATTCATTTTAACGCCATTCATCGTGACTTATTATTCTGCTTGAGATCGAACCTTTAATCACCTCGAGTAATTAACGTGCTGATGGATACGCGTATCGATAATAACGTAACACCACGATTGTAGCATAACGATACCAGTCCGTAACATGGCATGCGCGTGGAGAAAATAGAGCGCTTGATGTTAGTCCATTGCGATATTTTTACGTATCCCTGCGATCTAATTTGCAAATTGTAATTAGATAAATAACTATAGATACGAGAGTATGTCGAGATGTAATTAAAAGAATCAGCGTTTCTGTCGCCCGACGGCTTCATATACATCTCCCTTAATTAGAACGTCATCGCATAAACGCTCACTTGCTTTCAAGCAGCTGAAAAGTAGTAAGTACTTTAATCCTCAAACGTTTAGTAGTTAGTACTTTAATCCTCATAACTCTGAAGTCACTTTTTTTTTATTTGTGTAACCATAATAATATAGCAACAACAACAACAGCGATAAGAATAATTTTAACAGAGTAAAAGTGAAATTTGCCAACAAAGTCGGGATGAGAGAGAGAGCGGTAATCGCACTGACTTTATAGAATATTGACAGCTTTAACTCTCGGGTGATCACAATTCATTTCTCTCTTAAGAGGGCTTCATAAAATATTATTCCGTCTTAACGTAAATACTGCCGAATTGTCGAATCTAATTACCGAATCTAAGCGTATCTCATCGATGTGTTCGAATTATCGCGTTAAAACTGAAGAACAAGTTATAAGATAGAAACGATACTTTGCTTCCGTAAAGATTATTGCGGGAACAGGAAATCTATGCCGCAAGTGTGTAATCGCGATATGTCTATAATAAATTCGAGCGAGATACAAGTATAGAGCTCGATCCTTCATTAACATTTTAACCTTTGCTTTTGTTGACTTTATTTAATAATTAATATGGAGTAGATAGAATGTAAACTTGTTACTTGATTATTGTCGACTGTGTATCAACAAATACTCGCGAATCAAAGTGATGTTTTGAAGAGTCAAAACACGCCGGCTATATTCGGCGCTTGAAGCGAGAACTTCTTTTTTTTTTCGGAACTTTGAAGAATCGTTTGCATGATTTTAAGTTACATCGCTACCGCAACGTTGCTCGTCTCTTTTAACAATCGGTAACTGGCTATTTAAGTTTATGCAATTAATACATAGTGGGAAACTCTTCTCTCTCGACAAGTATTCTAAATAAATGCCTATATGTTTTATACTCTCGAGTTAATCGTATAACGCGCAGTTTATTTTTCCTCACTCGCTTTTCACACGTACTTTTTGTCGCACGATACGTGACATTAAATCCAGGTAAAGTGTGACATAAACGAAGGCGCGTCTCCGTGAGAATCGGATTTAATCATGCAAGAAGTACTCGCCATTCGAGGCCACTTACTGTCACGGCGCTTGAAAGGAGTCGCGCGCCAAGAAGACACGTGGGTACTCTTTTGGAAAGCGGGATGTGAAGTAAGTGAAATTCTGTTCTACCGCAAGATTCCGTAGGAACGCGTTGTTACCAAATGCCAAATGGCAAAAGTGAAGGAATGAGCGGTTAGCATGCAAAGAGTGGTGCGAATCCGCGACAAGTTGTACGCCGTACATTGCTAGAGAGCATTACTTGCGAATAGCGTAATTCTCATTACGGCAAAATGGAACAAGCTTTAAACAGACATCATTTCGACATTACCGTTTTAACGCATTGAGGATTGCGTTTATCATGTATAATATTTCACATTAATATAAACTTTATAACCGTTAAAATTTTATAACTTTGTAACCGTTAAAAAGTTTCACTCATATAAAATTATTTATACAACCAATACAAAGTATAAAATAATTAAGTGGACGCACAAAAAAAATTTGGATAAACTTGCCACAGTTGTTACCATATTATTGTAAAAAAGTTCAAGTATCTTACAATATCTTACAAATTTAAAAATTCAAAAAGATAAATTATCATCGTATGAGAAATTCACAATTAAGTATATCTAAGAAATTAATTATTCTGTTGATTAAATCCCCCCCCCCCAATTTTTTGAGACACGCAATTATTTCAGAATTATCAATTTCAAAACTTTACTTGTCCACGATGCGTTAAACGGACATTTTTTCCTTCTCGTGCCTTCATTCTCGAAATTGGTATACGGAGTCTTTTATCAATTCGTAACAATTCGAACTTTTGAGACACGCAATTATTTCAGAATTATCAATTTCAAAACTTTACTTGTCCACGATGCATTAAACGGACATTTTTTCCTTCTCGTGCTTTCATTCTCGAAATTGGTATACGGAGTCTTTTATCAATTCGTAACAATTCGAATATCAACGATTTACAATAAGAGTCGTTCCGTTACCGCAGTGGTTCTTCTCGCGAAAAAAAAGAAAAAAGGAAAATCGAATTGAATCGCGAAAATATCGTGAGGAAGCGTCGCAATCGGCG